ATGAGCCCTCTTACTCAGTCTGCTCATGTCGCACAGATTAAGGCTAACTTTATCTCGCTGCAGCTGTGCCAGGGCTACGAGAGGCTAATGGAGCCACGAGCTACGGGAAGGGACTAGAGAGAGCGGTCTGTGGCGGCGGTGGCAGCGGACATCTTGTGCTTTTACAAAATGCATTGTTCTCATTGGAACTGATGTAAATGAAGGGTCATATTATTCATCAGGGAGAATAATTATAAGTGTGTTTAGAGTAAAGTAAAATTTAAGACGACAGTGGTGATAATCCAAACTTGTATGTGTAAATAATATGGACTGCACCTCCCTCCTGGCCTGGAAGCCTCTTCAGTCCTGCACCGCACAGGATCTACAGTCTAAGTCCTGGATCTACAGCCTCAGTCCTGGATCTACAGCCTCAGTCCTGGATCTACAGCCTCAGTCCTGGATCTACAGCCTCAGTCCTGGATCTACAGCGTAAGTCTTGGATCTACAGCCTCAGTCCTGAGTCTACAGCGTAGTCCTGGATCTACAGCCTCAGTCCTGGATCTACAGCCTCAGTCCTGGATCTACAGCCTCAGTCCTGAGTCTACAGCGTAGTCCTGGATCTACAGCCTCAGTCCTGGATCTACAGCCTCAGTCCTGAGTCTACAGCGTAAGTCCTGGATCTACAGCCTCAGTCCTGGATCTACAGCGTAAGTCTTGGATCTACAGCCTCAGTCCTGAGTCTACAGCGTAAGTCCTGGATCTACAGCCTCAGTCCTGAGTCTACAGCGTAAGTCCTGGATCTACAGCCTCAGTCCTGGATCTACAGCGTAAGTCTTGGATCTACAGCCTCAGTCCTGAGTCTACAGCGTAAGTCCTGGATCTACAGCCTCAGTCCTGAGTCTACAGCGTAAGTCCTGGATCTACAGCCTCAGTCCTCTTATCAGCTGCATCCGGCATTAACAGCTGATAAGAGACGTGTCACACCATCACATGTCACCTCTGACGAATGCGGAAGGACTACATTTTTTGTCTTTTAAAAGAACCTTCTAAGCCATGTCCCCAAAGAGTTAGTGTGGCACAAGGTACAATGGATCCTGTCATTTCATGTGAAATGGTACGAGTCCTTTGAAGATGTCTTAATGGTTTGCATTTCTTCAAGAGCAAAGTACATTCTAACAAAATGTCTAAATCCACACATATATATATATATATATATATATATATATATATATATATATATATATATATTATATATGTATAAAGTAGCTTTAGTGGTTGTACTTTGAACGCTTTCCTTTCAATATCTCTCCAAACAGTTTCCATATCCCTTTGAAAGTCCTGTCCCGTGTCAGCTGTTATCTGCTCTGATCTGACAGCATGTGGAGAAGAGTTTCCTCAGCCATTCATCATACCAGAGCTCAGACATACAGTATACCAGGACAGAGACCAGAGCAGAGACCAGGACAGAGACCAGTGCAGAGACCAGGACAAAGACCAGAGCAGAGACCAGGACAGAGACCAAAGCAGAGACCAGGACAGAGACCAGAGCAGAGACCAGGACAGAGACCAGTGCAGAGACCAGGACAAAGACCAGAGCAGAGACCAGGACAGAGACCAAAGCAGAGACCAGGACAGAGACCAGGACAGAGACCAGAGCAGAGACCAGGACAGAGACCAAAGCAGAGACCAGGACAGAGACCAGTGCAGAGACCAGGACAAAGACCAGAGCAGAGACCAGGACTGGAGCAGAGACCAGAGCAGAGACCAGAGCAGAGACCAGGACAGAGACCAAAGCAGAGACCAGGACAGAGACCAGTGCAGAGACCAGGACAAAGACCAGAGCAGAGACCAGGACTGGAGCAGAGACCAGAGCAGAGACCAGGACAGAGACCAAAGCAGAGACCAGGACAGAGACCAGTGCAGAGACCAGGACAAAGACCAGAGCAGAGACCAGGACTGGAGCAGAGACCAGAGCAGAGACCAGATCATAGACAAGAGCAGAGGCCAGAGATTAACCAGAGAGCGATCAGAGAGACACCAGGACCAGAGCAGGACACTCAGAAGGTTCACTACGTGGAGAAAGTGCCTTTCACCAGTGCACTCCTTCCTTTCAAACGGAGACATTGTTTACAGCAGCAGTCGTCTCAAAGGCTGTGGGTTAAAGCACAGTGTTCAGAGGAATCACAGAATCCTCAATATCTGCTTTAAATGTATTCTCTAATATATTTTTTGCAGTAAAACAAAAGGGCCCAGGTCATATCCAGGTCCATCCAAAGTTTTGACAGACAATGTCAAAAATATATATATATATGTTTTCACTAAAAACGTCTTGCTTTTTTCTATCTGTTCATGGTTTTACAGAGGATTCACGATTCTAACCAAACAGATCAAGCAAAAATTCACTGGAGGAATGCAAAGTTTTTTGGAAACGCTCATAAAGCATTCAGAAAATCACTTTGAACCAGATAACGGTTTTCCAATGAACAAAAAACATTTTTAAATTAATGAATGCATGAAATGGAACGTTCTCAAGGTCATATACTGTATAAGTGGCAAATGAACCAAATAAGTTCATCATATCTGTGCGATGGCTCCAGCCACTTCTTGGAGAGTGCTTTCACCTCAGCCTCCTCCATTACCGCTTGTCTCCCTGTTATGTTCCCATTAGACTGCAGCCACAGAAAAGCCATTTCTCCTGCTCTGTTTGCGCTCCATCGCCGCCGAAGTTGACATTAGCTTCAACTTATTTTGTCTGAAAGCGTTGCAGCCTTGCGCACACACTTTAATATCTCCTCCCTGTGCGTGCGCGTGTGTGTGTGTGTGTCGTGAAAGGAAATGAGAAAAATGTCGGCCCCTCCACTGCCACCGCTGCAAGTGGCTGTTACCACTGCTTTAGTATTCCGCGGCGGAGTCTCGATGGCTACGGCGATATGACTTCCTCCGGTAAACAGGGCGCGCACCCGAATGCTAATACTCAAAGACGGGCCAGGCGAAACCGCAGCTTTCTCAATTAGCCACAACTCTTCACTTCATTCAGAGGGAAGTTTGCGATCTATCCAGATGAAACGTGTGATGTTATGTAGTCATTAACATCAGAATATGAAATCTTAATCACAGCGTTTCCCACGGCCGCGGTGCATCGCTAATACTGCGACTTTCAGATGGATGTGTTGGTGCAGGACAAGCCGGTGCACTTGATACTGTACAAATATATGACACAAAGCAAGATATCAGCAAAAGAAGTTAGAGCCTTGGTGGAAATGAGTCTCAAATGATGATGAGCCAGGGCACAAAGTCGTTACCAAGAGACTCAAGTCAATGTTTCAGTCAAAGCAGAGCCCTGATGATTGAAAATACTGTATGTGGAAATCTCAAAAGGCCTTTCTTCATTTTCTACCCCTTGATTAGCCAATTTCTGGAAGTGGGGGTGTAACGGTGACATCCTTGGTCTTTCAGTGGGAGCTTCGGGCAATGTGGGGTTAAGTGTCTTGCCTAGGGACACAACGGCAGCAGGCATGAGTGGGAGCAGTCTAGGAGCAGTCAAGTCTAATCCCTTCAGCATTAGAATGATAATTATTGGTATGTTTGCATGAGTATATTGTAGCTGATGTAGACATTAGCCCCAGCAGAAACATGATTACATTTATTGCATTTAACCAGAAGCTTAAAAACAGGAATCAATTAATGTAATTTCAAACATACAGACATGCATAGACATTCTTTCATACATTAACCCTTTAATGTTCTCTCCTTGAAAAAAGCAATGTCATTTGTTTTTGATTGAGCACTAATAACCAAAATAATTATAATAATGTCTATTTTCTAAACCATTTTCTTATTTATTTATTTAACCCCTAGTTTGTAATTATTCTCCTCTACGACATGGTTGAGATGCAGCTTGTGCCTAAAACCAAGTGATAGAAATGCCCCAATGAGGTAGATTTCTATATGATCTACAGCGGATCCCTCTCTCGATACGTGGGTCTCCCCGAGGATTCTCACTTTTTTCCCATTGGGTTTTTGTGAGTTTTTCCTCTGATGCAGGAGGGTCTGTTGGACAGTTAGTGTCTAACTAGAAGGACTGTGGTGATCCAGGAAACTTTAACATTGTACAACATGTATGACATTTATAAAAATGATTGTGTTCTATATTCTTTTTGTGTCCTAACTGTTGATTTTCTGATCTGTGTTGGTGATTTCAATGGTTTAGGAAACCATTAAAGGGTTTCCTTTGTTCTCTCCTGTCAAAGCCCTAAAAGGAGTGGGAAGAAGTCTAGTTCATAAGCTCCCAGCGTTAGGGTTTGGAGATTAGATCAAGACAGAAATACTGCAGGACAAATGCAGGAATTTAATACAGACTATGAGCGTGTGAATCCCGGGGCCTGAACCTTGGAAGCTCAGCCAAAAACAAAACAGTTCTCCACGGAAGAGGCGGTGACAGGGAGGAGGGTTGTCGGATGAACATCAGCCTGATGCAGGGACTGATGCAGCCGTGAAGTGCTGCTGATGAGCTCAGTGAAGGTGTGTAGCAGAGGGAGGACTCAACTAAAATTATCTGTGTACAGCCCTAAATCATCAACATTTAGGAGTACTGTATACAAGTACTTGGAGGACCAGAGGGGGCAGATGACCAATGTCCATAAATGTTCTTAAATGTTGTGGATCATCACTGTCCGTAGACCCGGCTGCATCGACCGGGAACAGCTGAGAGCGAGTATTGTCTCTGACACGGTCAATATTCCTGACAGAGAGTGTACTCTCATTAATACTAAACACCATCCCTACACACACACAGAAAGAAATGGGGATTAATACTAAATTATTATTCTAACGGTCTCCCCTCACGGTCACACCTGGGCCGTACAATACTATGATGATACTAGGAAAAAATGTGTATTTGTATGTGCTGTTTTGGGGCCAGCTCATGAGCTCGTGCAGCTTTCATTAGTTCCCTTTTAGAAAGCACAAACAAATCATTGGAATTTACTGAATGAATGTTTTGTAAATTAAGATAATTTAATTTAATTGAGCACGGCTTGATGTCCAGGTGTCTTCCGGTCACTGACAGGTTTGTTGTGAGCAGTGAGGCTGCAGCGCTCGATCTGCTCTTCTCTCCACTCCACCAAACACCCGCAGCCAAAGCCTTTGTTCTTCACCTTCTCAGGGAGTGTGTGAATGACGGGCTAAAAGATTTAGAACACTATAGCCATTTTCTGACTTTTACGTTGATCCTCCTGACGCACAAAACCACGTTTTTTTTTTTCTCGCCTCGAGCCCTTCAGTCCGGGTTGTCCAGTTCCTCCTTGGCCACCGGGCTTTGTGTGTCCCCTGATAAACTTTAACCAGCAGGGAGGTGCTACGAGTATTGCCGCCTCACAGGACGGGGCACAGGTAGCCAGTGGGTCAAGGTTACGCCCTACGTTCCTGCGTGTTAGATCAGGATCCTACTTGAGCAGCGGCCCACTCAGTCGTTCATCTGGGCCTGCAACATGGTTTACCCACCTCAGGCTCCGTCCAACCAGGGACCGCGAGAAGATGGTTTGCATTTCACAGGGTCAAGGAACGACAGTGTGAGCTGGCTGTCCCCCAGTGGCCCTCACAAAAAAACAGCAACATGTCAAGACTAAATACAACAGTGAACACTATAAGACCAACTGCAGCCTTCTCAATGAAACCAAAGTCTCCTCTCGCTCTGAAGTCTGTATCTGTCCAGATGAACGTGTGATGCTCCGTACAAACACCTTGTTGCCATAAGAACTCTTTATCAGCTGAAACTTTCAAATGGATGGAGGCTTCAGGATTTCATAAAAGCTCACATATAATTTAATAAACATATTTGCATTAAGAAGTGCAATGTTATACTCGTTTACAGCAAAGGGGTCTGTGAGCGCAGAGGCTAATTGTGAGCGTTGGTGTTTGTTTTCAAAGGGAAACAAACCTTTTAGAGGGTTAGACTATGAGAACATTTTCCTTAGAAACTGAAATACACCCTGAGACATATTCAGGTCTTCGAGTTCAGACTGGAAACCTGACCTTTGAGGAGTGCTTTGACACCCCTGCTGTAAATGATTGGTATGTAAAGCTGTATTTATGTAGTCATTCTCATCATAGGTGTAGGGTCAAAGCGTGTTTGGGCCTGTGTCCTGTGCATGGCATTGTTTTTGTTTTGTATTGTTTGTATCATCATTAACATGGTTGACAGGGGACTGGAGTAAAATAATCGTCTCCTTCAGCCAACCCCTTTTCAAACCTGTGTCTGTGTACGTTTTGTTTTGTGTCCATGTTTATGTGAAAATGTTTGCAGGTTTGAAATAACTCCAACATGTGCTGGCGGGTGTGAGGGTTACCGGTGCTTACAGCCCCTCTCCCGTCACTGCCAGGACCATAAACAGCCTGTTTGCTTCTCATCGACTCAGAGATGACTTGCCACATTTCTGTCCAATCCTGAGCCTTTTGACGACACACTTTAGTATGCGCACAGCTTGCATTTTATCCCAGATTGTAACAATGTGACGAAAATAGCTGAATAAACATTCTCTTCATGAAGCAAACGGCATCGTCTGTTTATGGTCCTGACTTTGTTGTATGGTTGGAAGAACGGTGGATACAGAGAGTGGGGCTGAGAGAGCAGGGCTGTACAAGACTTATCCATGTATTTATTATTTATTTTATTAGTTTATTTGACAGAGCATTAATAAACATGTCTGTCAATGCACCAGAATAAGCCAAGTATTGTGTTTCTCATCCGCAGTCCCTGGACAGGAGAACATGGCCTCGCAAGGGAAAATAACATTAAAACGTCATAAAATAATCTAGAAATACCCACATAAATATATCGATCCAGACTATTTATTTCTCTCTCCAAAAACATTATTGCAGATTCCGTAGAAAGGTGTGGACAGAAGACAAACTTCTCTGGGTGCACTATCGAGACGCTCGGCCAATTGTTTATCTTCCCGTTTTCACAGTACTGTAGATGAAACTGGTAATATGCTTATCTCCATAATTGGACCTTTTAGTTTCTGGCCTTAAACTGTGTTCTACAGATGCATTAATAAGACGGGTAATTGGACGTGCCAGAACCAAACTAGAAAGACATAATCTGAGGCGCAGTATATTTATAACCTTCGCCTCAGATATTTGTTGTAGCTTCGATTATTTTTTAAATAATAAAAAAGGTTGTGCTAAAGCTAATACGACTGTGGACGTAAACTCTGGTGTTTGGAGGTACAGTGCTGTGCGCCCGCTCTGCTCCTACACCTGAGTCAGATGTGAAGAAATGTTCTGCTTCAGATAAAACGGTCTGTTCTGGAAAAACAAATGTAATGATGTCCTCCTGTGGCTTCACTTCTGCTCCGTTGTGTCAAATAGAGATTAGTTACAGACTTCAGCTCTACTGGCCACATATTAGAAAGTCAACGCTTGAAACCAGTACATTCTGACTCTTGATTTGGGACAAAACTTCAATTTACACCAAGTGCTCATTCTCAGACCTCTGTCTTTCCCTTCGGAGTCAGGCCGGAACAGGGAAATATTAGGAATCGAGCCTGTTGATAGGAGGGTGAAGTGTTTAGAGGGATGAATTTCTCGTAGGAGAAATCCAGGTTCCCAGCAGCTGGAACATATCCATCCAAACAAATAGATACATAATTCGAAAAGTTACAATAGTAATAAATTGCAACAGCACTTGTGGTCACAGCAGCAGAGGTGGTGTAGCTGCTGGTGATGAGCTGCTTTCTTTCCTATTGTTGAATGCAGAGTCTGCTTCATTTGGACCATTTTCGCTGCTCTGGTTCGGAGTGAAATTTGAATTGCTTTATTAGCATTAAAAACAAAAAAAACAATAGCGTCCCTCCACAGAATTTACTCTTGATCTGCTTGGGTTGGACCATGCATCCTCTCTGCTCCGGTCTGGATCAGTGTAAAACCAAGAACACGTTACAGCATTAAGATATGCAGCTAGAAAAAAGCAAGAAAAATATAGATTGTTAAACACAAAAAAACTAGTTTCGGAGATACTTAGGACCTGCCGCCATTTCCGATATTTAATACTTCCCTGCTGTGTTCATCGTACTGACCATGACCATTTACATCCCGTCCCTTTTACTACGTAGCATCAGTGTAGAGTAGTGACCCATCTTGAGAATGCCCGTCTGTCTGTTTGTCTGCAATAGCTATTTGGGATGTTTTGCTGTAACTATATCTTTACAGAGGTCTTCCAGGTCAGAGCACTGCCCGCCCCAAATCCACAGGTCAAACTCATAATGTCCTCCTCTTTAAAGCTCTTTCCTGACCTCCATCTCCTCCCTGTGCCCCTCTGTCCCACCAGACAAACAGCCATTTTTCACTGCTATCTCCCAGCCTGCACTTGGCTTTTGTTCTATCTCTCTCTCTCTCTCTCTCTCTCTTTCTTCCCCTTAGCGTGACTAGCTGCAGGGTTTTTGGTTCATTCATTCTTGAGACGTTCCCGGGATGTTATCAACGGTGATCTATACTCGCTTTGACAACTATGCTAAAACAATGGAAGAAAAAAGGAACAAAATAGTCCAGTGTTTTGGCTATGGTTGTCCCGAGCTCAACCCAAAAAGAGCCAGCAGTCCAGAGTTCCTTCTTCAAAGTGCAGTGGAATAAATCATCTTTCTCTGAACTGGGTCGTTTCCTTCAGCTCTGCACAATGCATTACAGCTTTATGGCAAAAGTAAAACCGTCAAATGTCTGCTCGGATTCTAAAAGTTGTAGGAAAGCTTGGCAGAACATGTGATTATTAAATTGTGTATCTGTAAAATTATCCACATGATGAAAAGTGGACCGGGTCACTCAACCCTCTTTCTTCTTATACCTCTGACACCTTTTCTAAGTGCCGGCCGAACGACTAGCTGCGTGTGCTCCTCATAAATCCTGACACTTCTGCTTGGCTGTGATTAGACTGGAGAGCGGAAAACTCTGGTCCGCGCAATAACCACAACACATCCACAACATAACTACGTGGTCAGCCCTGGGCAGTCACCGACGGCCACTTCCAAGGCTGTCGTTAAAGCACATTTCATCTTTTTCTCTTTGGCCAAAGAATGTCATAAAATATGTTCACCAATACTTACAAAACCCACAGTTCAACCAGGACTCACATGGTACGCATTCGCAGACACACACACGCGCTAAGAGACACACACGTGCTAAGACACACACGTGCGCACACACACCAGTAAAACCGTAAGACTAAGAGATCCTTGTACATATGAGCAGCAGTATGTTTACATCTGTACATGTTAGCAGCAGTATGTTTACATCTGTACATGTTAGCAGCAGTATGTTTACATCTGTACATTAGCAGCAGTATGTTTACATCTGTACATTAGCAGCAGTATGTTTACATCTGTACATGTTAGCAGCAGTATGTTTACATCTGTACATTAGCAGCAGTATGTTTACATCTGTACATTAGCAGCAGTATGTTTACATCTGTACATGTTAGCAGCAGTATGTTTACATCTGTACATTAGCAGCAGTATGTTTACATCTGTACATTAGCAGCAGTATGTTTACATCTGTACATGTTAGCAGCAGTATGTTTACATCTGTACATTAGCAGCAGTATGTTTACATCTGTACATTAGCAGCACTGTGTTTACATCTGTACATTAGCAGCAGTATGTTTACATCTGTACATGTTAGCAGCAGTATGTTTACATCTGTACATTAGCAGCAGTATGTTTACATCTGTACATTAGCAGCAGTATGTTTACATCTGTGCATTAGCAGCAGTATGTTTACATCTGTACATTAGCAGCAGTATGTTTACATCTGTACATGTTAGCAGCAGTATGTTTACATCTGTACATTAGCAGCACTGTGTTTACATCTGTACATTAGCAGCAGTATGTTTACATCTGTACATTAGCAGCAGTATCTTTACATCTGTACATTAGCAGCAGTGTGTTTACATCTGTACATTAGCAGCACTGTGTTTACATCTGTACATTAGCAGCAGTATGTTTACATCTGTACATTAGCAGCAGTATCTTTACATCTGTACATTAGCAGCAGTATGTTTACATCTGTACATTAGCAGCACTGTGTTTACATCTGTACATTAGCAGCAGTATCTTTACATCTGTACATGTTAGCAGCAGTATGTTTACATCTGTACATTAGCAGCAGTATGTTTACATCTGTACATGTTAGCAGCAGTATGTCTACATCTGTACATGTTAGAAGCAGTATGTTTACCTTCTCAGCAAGAAGGTCCTGGGTTCGAATCCTGGTCGGAACAGGGCATTACTGAGTGGAGTTTGCATGTTCTCCCCGTGTCTCCGTAGGTTTGCTCCGGTTTCTCCTACCACTAAAAACATGCACAACAGGTATGAATGTAACGAGTGGGGGAATGGATGGTGTTTGGTCGGAGGCTTTGATGGTCCGGTGTGTGGAGAGAATGGAACTGAACATTGGGCTCTATGCACGCACCACTTCCACATTTCAGCTAAAGCCCCACTTCACTTCCTGTGCGCAGGGAACGGCCTGAGTTTCACTGGAGTTCAGCAGTGGTTTA